ATGGGTGTTACAGGAATATTGTATTTTTAAATTATTTTTTGTAAAGCAAGATAGAAACAATTTTGTATTAATTTTATACAAGATTCCATGACACATTCACATTTTGAAACGCTTTTTGAGAATCAAATTATTAAAAAAAAATGAAGTTAGATTATAAAATAGTGTATATTTAAAAAATAAATTAATAATTTACTTTTTTTTATAATGGTAAACTGCATTTTAATTATATAAAGATATTAAAATGGTTATGTATAATTTAGAATTTATTTGTAATTTTAATCCCTTCTTCCAATCCCAAGGCCCAAATGAGCCTTGCATAAACATTATCCTATGACGCGTCAGCATTAGCAAGCGAGTAATAATTTTTCAAAGTCGGGCATCCATCTACTCATGGTAACTTGTCTGTGTGCCACGCACCGTTTCTTGTATTCTGCCCGGACTAACAACGGATTCCCGGCACAACATTTAACGAAGTTTCCGCAAACCTAAAACGATCCGGTTTACCATTACTTGCTTATCGTAATGCGTTCAAAATCACTTGAGCTGTTCAATCATATGGTCAGCTTTATGTATAACATATCAAACGATCCTGGCGTTTGATTGTGATCATCTGGTCGGCGCTACAAGCTGACCGTCGGACAAGGCAAGTGGCGCGTATTTGAAACGGTGTTTCCGAGAGAATTTTCCAACGAGGGGCACTGATTGTTGTTGAATTGTTTTAGATGGAGAAACAGAGAACGAAAAGAGCCAGAAGAGAAGGAAGCCGTGATGACAGCGGAGATCTCCGCGAGTACTCAGTCTCCGGCGCGAAAAATGAGGTAGCCTTCCGGAGATCATGTGAGAATAAAACAAACAAGAGAGAGGGAGAGGACGAGCTCGTATTCAGTGAGATTTTGGCTGGAGAGCAGAGCAGGTATGGTGGCCGGACGAAGAAAGCGACGGTGAGTGAGGATAATTCTATAAAATCACTTTCGAAGCTCTGTGAAGCTGAAGGTAATTTCGTTCAAGAACGAAGAAAGCCCAGGAAGATTGCCAAGAATCATATGGTGGGAGAGAGAAAAGCGTCGGGGGAGGTAATTACTTCAATTAGTGTTTATTGTTCTTAACAAAATAGCTGTTAGCTCCTACATAATTTGTAGGATGTGAATTTTTCATGTTGTACATATTGTTCGGTGAGTTTCCTAAATAGAGAGGTTCTAATTTTCTGCCGGGAGGCTACAATAGCAAGGGACCTGTGTTCTAAGATGTATACGATAGTAAGAGAAACTCATGGAATTTTCACAGGAGATAGAATTTTAGGTGTGAGATTGTCTGTTGGTTGTTATCTTATTTGAGTGTGATAACATTTATTGTTATGTGGTTTATTGTTTGTTAATAATGTTATGAATATATATATGTGTGTGTGTGTGTGTATTCTCTATCACGCTCCTTTAATTAGTTTAGTCGATGATGTTGTTACAAATTTAAATTTGTTTACTCGAGTTAGCAAGCTTCTCCAAATTGCTCATTTTGTATTCCTTCTGAGTATTGATGTTTTGATTTTCGAGCCCATAAATTTCTATTCTAACTTCATTGCCTCTTACATGACACTAGGTATTATTTATACTGATTGATATCTCTCCTTCTGTCCTCTTACATCTTTAGACATAGTTTTGGTGCAAAAAAGACTGTGCGGTTGCATGTCTGACTGTATAACTAATTATTTCACATTTCCACAACCATCACAACTTTTAGCACTGTTAATATGTGCATAAGACAATCATATGATGCTCCATGCTTCTCACTGCAGGAAAAAGCAAGCAAAAACAAGGAGCATGGAAGTTTGATGTGCCATCAGTGTCAGCGGAATGATAAGAGTGGTGTTGTCTTCTGTTCCAATTGTAATAAGAAGCGCTATTGTTTTGAGTGCCTGGATAAGTGGTAAGAGTGTAACTTAAATGTTCATAATTGACAATTATTATGCCTATACTTGAGCAATATTTAAAATGGAAAGGTACCCGGAGAAAACAAGGAAGGAAATTAAGAATGCTTGTCCTTTTTGTCGCGGTAACTGCAATTGCAAAGCTTGCTTGCGTGAGGTGTTAGTTGTGAAGGTAGGTTTCTGCTTCTTGTTTTGTGTTCTCTTAGGGGATGTTGGGAACAAATGACTCTTTTTGTGGAATTCATTTGGAAATTTATCTTCATTCAAATGTGTAAACATAAAATTCCTACTACAAATAAATTATGATAGGAACTTGAACAATACATTTTCAACTTCATTAGACTTGATGAAAAAGAAGTTGTTTTTTCTTCAAAGTTTTGTTTCTATTCACAAAATCATTTAGGATTGATGAAAATATCTTCACAAACTTATGATTTCTATATTAACTTCTCAAAAATGATTAATTTTTTTAGAGTTTCCAAAGTAATTGATTTTTTTCAAAATACCCTCAGTCTGTCTGTTTGTGACAATTTCTCATGTTGTTATAATTTTTTTGTGATTCTTTCTCTTTAATTTTAGTTATTACTTTTTGCTTGTGCTTCTTGTAGCCTCATCAGGAAGTGGACAGGAGGATGCAATTAAAGTGGTTGCAGTATGTGTTATCCCAAGCTCTGCCTGTTCTTAGACATGTTTACAGGGAGCAGAGTTCTGAACTGGATGTTGAAGCCAGCATAAAAGGTAGGG